CCCAGTTTCTGACGTGGCTGACTCAGCAAGGGCTTGGCTCAAAACAAATACATATGCACAAGGAACTGCAGCCTGGGAAGCAGTGACAAGAGGCACATGAAGAGAAGGCGGCATTGTGGATTTTTATTGCTCTAGGTCCCACCTGGCTGAATTGCCCCTGGACTTTCTTCTTCCAGAATCTCAGAGCATGGTGGTCACCATTCTCTCAGTACATCAGCAGTTTCTCCTCTCTGCCTGTTGGACTCAGGTGCAGCTCCGACATACCGTAAGTCTATTTTGCATTCCATTTTCCTAATGCTCATCTTCTACATCACTGTTTTGTTTTCTTTTTTTTTTTAAATTTACCTTTGACTATTTCTTTGGTTTTCTTCAGTGTTACTGAGTCACCAGCTCCCTTCCTAACCACCCACTGAGATTTTTATACTGTGCCCTTCATCATGAAGGTGGCTGGTTACCATGGTATCAAAGTGCCCTTCTGTTCTAGATGCTAGATTAAATCTGTTCTCATGGTGACTGTGTGCCTTTGCTATTTTTCATCAGCTTGTTTCTGTGGCACAGATTTAACAAGCTCAGACATCACCATTCCTTCTCCACTGAACAAGACTCCCTAATATACCAGACGGGTCAACTGCTCCTTAATACAGAGATATAGTGTGAAGTTTGCATTTCCTGCAATACCAGCATCTCTGTTTTCCTTCCAGCTACAGGAACAGGGAAAGAAGAGGTTGTTCCTGTTGTGCGACTTGCTGCTGAGCCTGTGACAGAAGTTCACCACCTGACTGTGAAGAGTCAGCAGTTTTCTCTTTGCTTTTTATCAGAATGGATACTTGGCGGAGAGGATCCATTAAGTCTACAACATTCTTCAGACGTTTCTCACTCAGGAGACACAAAAAGTTGGGCAACCAGGTCATTATCCTGAACAAGAACAGCCACACACTGGACAGTGATGGACAGTGCCAGAAGAGGGAATGCTTGAGGGATCTGAAGGACAAGTCTGATTACCTGTCGTGTCAGAGTGAGCAAAACCTGGCCAAGGCACAAGCACCTCCTAAGCCACCCCGGCTGTACCTGGACAGCTCTAGCTGCCCTAACATCATCGATCACACAGATTCTCACTCTGATGTCTCCTTTTCTGGTGCTTCTCATCAATACAACAAAGCCACTCAAACTCAGTTCCACAAGGACCAGGCTACAGACTGCGTGACCTCAGAGACTGGCTCCCAGAACAGCACCACTCTTTGTGACCTGTCTGATCCTTTCCTGTCCTTCAAAGTGGACTTGGGGCTATCACTTCTCGAGGATGTTCTGCAGACCCTCAGGAAACAGAATCCAAGAGATTATGCCATTTGAAGGTATTTATGACTTAATGTATCAGATTTACCTGCTGCTGGTGCCAGTTTCTCTAGTCCTAACAGGAAGAAGGATACTGCAGCACCCCTGTTGCGCGTGGTCTGTTTTATTGTTGTTGCCTTACCCGTCACAGGCTGTTCTTGTCCTCATCAAGAAGTCCTTCAGAGCAGAACTGACAGGCTCCATGCCTAGATGAGAGCCCTGTCTTCTGGAACCTTGTGTGCAAGTTTCCACTCTCCACACTGGGAAATTCTCACCCTTGCCTATGCACCTCCTCCTCACTGAAGACTGGTATTGTTTAACTGAAGACTTGTTTTGGGGATGTGGCTGTGACACTGCAGAGTTTGGACAGAAAGGGGTATAGCATACATAATTTGTGGATAAGCAGGCAGCTTGTAAGGAGACAGTGTTACTGTCTCAAAACCATAGCTATGGCAAGGGTCAAGAGACAGAAACTGATGGTTTCTGCTCCCAACATGTTTGGATGTGAAAAAAAAATCAAAGTTGTTCTTCTCCCTTTATTTCTTTTTATGTGAGTTTTTCTTTTTTTTTTCCCCCTAATTCAAATGCAGTTGGTACTTGCAGCCTGCAAACAGGTAACCATCTATATAAGCTCATAATACAGAAACAGCAGTTTATTTAGTCTACTAGCAGAAGAAATTTCTCTAGATACTGCTGCCTGAAGCATGCACTGACCTATCAGCTGTACAGACACGGAAGAATAAATGTTTCTGTGATTGGAAGTGCCTTGTTGCCTCATTTCATTGGTAGTGAGCCAAAACAACAAAGGCCAGGTAGCAGGAGCATAGGTTTCTTATCTGTAGTGATCAAGATCAACCCTCTCTGCCACCTGCGGCATACATGAAGGTGGGAAAAGCAGCTCTGTTTTTCTGGGTTGGGAAAAGGCTAGAGCTATTCATACCCACTTTCCCTTGAGAAGGAGAGTGCAGCAGACAGATCAGGACCAACATCCAGTGTAGAAAGGAACACAATTCTTCATTCTGTGAGGTGGAAAATGCTCTGCCAGGCTGAGTACAACTTAGGCACTACCATGCTGAAAAGACAGTGCACAACCTACTGGGTCATCAATGCCTTATCTTGTTTTCATAGCTAGATAAGAAACTAATGCTCTTCAAAAAACAAAAAACCCACAAAAATCCCATGGACCCAGACAAACATGAGCTTTGGAAACAGCAAAGTGCAATCCCAGAGAAGGCATTGAACTCAGCCAACAACCTGATGTGAATCTGGTGAAGTCAGATAATATAATACATTTGCTGAAGCCTCAAAGGTTAGAAAAGATTGCAACAGGATATGTGACAGAAAGCTTTTCTCAGCACTTTACTGTGGCTGAATGGATGGTCAAAAGTGAACGGGAGCACGTAGGGTGACACCACCAGGTGCAATGATGACTTTCCCATGAGCAAGCACTTTATGCCGTTGTAGTGACAAAACAATATAAAATTAGTGTACACAATAGTTCTCACAGCACTACACAGTCTGTGTGCTTTGAACCAATCAGAGCTGCAGCAATCAAATAGTTGTTGCTCTCAAGTATCCTAAAGTAACAGTGGTCAAACCACAGCTTTTGTAGTTTTCTAATTTGTAAAGCTTAACCCTCCTGTTGTCTAGGAAGGACAACACTCATCCTTTGCCATGGGATGAAACAGGTCAGCAAAAACTGTGGAGGTATGCAATTTGCAACTCACTGCCTCCTCACAGCGTGATGTTTCAGCAGTCAGCCCTGATTTCTCCTAGGAACTGCTTCCAAAGGTGTCCTGGTGTAGCCTGTCTGTGGGTCTCCATTATTTGTGGTCTTTGGTGCACAGCTCCTGGCTGCCAACCCCACGCATGGAACACAGACAGGATGGGTAGTGAGCGTGTTGCCATGAGAACAGTGCAGCTCTTCAGCTGTCTCCTGAAGCAGAGCAGGGAAGGAGCTGCATTTGCACAGAGTGGGAGCAAACAGAAGGTGGAATCGGACAAAAATAGGAGCTGCCCAGAGACACCAAAGAGGAAGCGAGGGCAGCTTAAAATCAGAATGAGCCTGAAAGAAAGAACATAGCCCCTGATGGATGGAAAGCCAGACTGTGTATGAAAGAGATAAGGTAGGTAGTACACTGCGGCAATGTCAACTGATAACTGAAAAATGTCATTTGGAAGACTGGAACTGAGGAGCTGAGAGCAAAGACAGCTATGACAGCTAGAAACAGTAAGGTCAAGAGAAGGGATTACCAAGTTGTACATTCTGGAAACATCCACGCAGAAGCAGCAGCTTTGAGCTGCTTCTTTTCCCAAAGCAGGACTTTGGGAAAGCCTAATGAAGCAAATAATAAAACAAACCGGAGCAGCTTGGGTATCTTACCCTAGACAGCAAGACAACAATGTAATTAAAGAAGTCACTGCTGCTTACACATAAAAGCAGTAGAAAGAACACAAGCATTAGAAGCGTAGCTCTTGGAAAAGGTTGCAAATCACTGTCCAGAACTCATCATTTAGAGAACAAACAATGTAATGATGAAGCTATGCTGGATCGAACAGAGTAACCAGCTCCACACAGCATGAACTCCATTTGCTGCTTTAGCCTGTCCTCCCTTGCTGCTGCTCCACCATCTAATCCTTCACAGCAGGCGGACACTGCAGTTTCAAATTAACAAGCTTTCGTCATGGAAACAAGCCAAGATCAATCAAACAATAAGTCTTCAATACTTGAAAATGCACAGGTAAGAATACACTACCAACCTCTGCACTAGTGGCTCCCCTCTCCTCCTCTTAGGTATGAATGAGCTCTCCAGAGCCAGTTCTAGTTCTCTGCTAGTGAGGGATACTCAAATACACTCAACTGAATCCTGCTTTTCTCCAAAGCATTTTGGCTACCTTTCTGAATCTGCTCTGCCTGCAGGACTCATTGTGCATGGAGACCTGCTTGGCTATGGGCTATGATCCTCAAACTGCCATTGCTTGAAATGTCTGAGAAGTGATGCTGCTCAGGCCATGCTGTTCAAAATAGAACATAGAACAAAAAAGCAGAACTAGGATAGCAGCAAGGCATTCTGACATGTGAATACAGTACTTGAGAAGTCAGGAGAAAAAATATTAAACAATCTTACAAACTGCTACAGTATTTTGGTTGTAAATGCATGGTCTGAGGGTACCTGTACAGCATGAGGCAGTGAAGGAGAAGAGAGGAAGTGTCACATGAAACTTGAATAGGAATTCAAATAGCCAGAGGATCTCAGGCCCCTTCACATTTTCTCTCAGAAAAGAAGCAACTACCCAGATCAGAACACAGGCAGAGCACGAGATATACTACACTTTGCTTTATAACACAGAATAGTTCTGCTCCAAAAGAAGTGGATACAATTCCCACTCCAAACAGGCGATAGAAGCACAAGGTAACTGATGGCCAACAATTTCATGCAGCACGGCACATTAGAGGAGACATTTTCTATGTTTTAGCCACTACATATTGTATTCCAATCACAAAAGAGATAATACGCAAAATTCTCAGCAGCAGCTTCACATTGAACATCCAGCGGAATAACCAAGAAGTTGGCAAATACTTTGCACTTGAAGTGTCTACCAAGCTGTACCAACACTAGTAAAGAAGAACCAAAACAGAAAAGAGCTCTTTAAAAGAATATTTAATTTGACACTATTTTAGTTTTCCTCCTGCAGACCCTAAGAACATAGGTTTGCTTTTAGCATTGAAATTTCACCCTCTTGTGAATGCAGTAACTAAACCTCTCTAAAGGTTCCATACCTCTTTCAGTGAACTACCTGCCAAAGGATTTCACAGTTGAAGTACACTACACTAAATTCACAGAAGAATGGAATTAGAGGCTTTGTGTTGAGCAAGGAGCATCCTTAGTTTTCACTTTTAAGAGGGGGATATTGTGCAAACATCCAGTTGTTCAAGTAGCTTGTACCTCAATGTATTGCTACACTGACAGAAAGTCCTTTAAAAAAAAAAAAAAAAAAAAGTCACTGCCTAAGCATAAAAAGTTTCATCAAGAAGCCAGTCATCTCTCTATCAGTTTATTTTCTTGTTTCTCTAGGGATCAATGCATCCTACCATATATGCAAAGCACGCCTAAGTTTAGGTTGCTATAGAAACAGATTTAAGTAACAGCTGCATATATTCTCCTTACCTGTGAAGTCCTAGGCCGACCACTGCTGTCAGAAAGGACACAGCTGGGATTGCTCTGGGGCTGGCCTTCCAGCCAGGAAATCTTTAGAGGATTATCTGTCAGGCCAACTTCATTCTTCACAGCCATTTCCTACCAATGAAAATATTCCATCATCACCATCCGAATTTTTGGTCACACTCCCTCATAGATTGCTCACAATCCTAGGAGTTTTTCTATCTCAGCCTGTTATCAAGGTCAATGAAGATTTCACAGCTTCCCTACATGAGAAGCACCCTTCAAGGTTCATTTCTGCACCAAGGATGGGTAAAACATCGCTGCCAGCATTTCTGATAAACAGAGCACAGACAGTTGTGGGTTTCTGGTTGCTTTATTATTATTATTTTTTTGCAATTATTTGGATAGATTAAGTGAAATAACTGGTTACAAAAAACAACAAAACCCTTGTAAATTCAAGTAGATGGAACTACTAACATCACAGGTTTATTTCATTACAGTAGCTACTGTACAGATTACTTTTATTTCCACAGTAACATGAATTATTATAACTCATCATGAGTTAAGGCATTTTAGATTCTTTTAAACTGCAAATGCTTGATATAATCCCTAAGATGCATTAAGCCCATCACCCCCAGTGAGAGCTGGTTAAATAGTTTGGTGCCTGCCCTTTAAAGCAGTGTCTCTTCCCTCAGAAGCTTACATGCACAGCCTACTTGTTTATGTGCATGATCTGCTCTGAATTTATGCCTCAAGCTTTGCCACTCCCTTCATCTGTCTGTACCTTTAGACTCTCATTACCCTTCTCCATTGCCTTAATAACAAGGCAGCATTTCTAGGCTGTCAGACAGCTAACCCTTCCCTTCTGAATCACCCCCTTCTTGCCCACTCTCCACTGCACGCTTCTGTGGTCTCCACCAGACTTACAGCAGCTTTAACAGTAGCAAATTCCACGACTGCACTTCCAACCTTCCTACTGGAGATCAACAAATTTAGCACGTCGCCATACTGTTAGGAGAGAGAAAGAAAAGTTAATTACAGACCCACAAGAAAAGTCAAGTTCACCTATGGCATGACTGCAAGGAAAACGTGTCTTTACAGACATGAGACTTGAGCTGTCACCCCTTCTGTCTTACATGATGCTTCCATTGATCCCAATCTGTCATAGTTTGTCCCTCCAGGAAACAGTGCAGAAGCTGCACATGGTTACAAACTTCGCTTCCAGCAAATCCCAAGGTAAGAGGGTTGTTTCACTCAGTGACAGGAGATATTCATCTGAATGAAGACCATATGCTGGGACTAATCTTATCAAAGGCTTGTCTGTTTCTGCCTCTGAACTCCCCACAGAAGTTAACATACAGTGCTTTAAGTAAAGGTAAAAGTGCACATTATAACCAGAGAGCCAGCCTAACATTTATAAAGGACATAAATTACTCAGGGGAAGAGTTTGCGGTTGCTCTGTTTCACTGGGGATCTCTGCTAGGAAGAAGGCAAACGGGCAACCAGAAACAGTTCACAACAAATGGATTGTGTTGACGATCTCTGAAAATGGCATGAATGAGAGGGCTCAACAAGAGAAGAAAATGAGCTACTCTGGTTTATATGGGGCTTTCCAGAATTTACTGTCCTCCCTTAGCACTGAAAGCAGGGGAACATCAAGTAACAGAAAAGCATGGGACAGAACCTTCTGCAGCATCCGCAGTAAAACTTCCTTTGAATATCCCCCTCCTGTCTCATCTTCTTTCCTGCATTTCCATTTTAGCTGGGAAATAAATGTGAGAAGTTAATTTTGTGCTTTTGAACATGCTGCCATGCTGAACACAGCTCACACCACCTGCAGAGTAATGAAGTTTTCTATTTACAGCTACAGTCCCAGAATGGCCAAGAAAATAACTTCAATATCAGTGTGCACAGGGAACAAATTATTTGGGGAACTGTGAGGAAGGACTCATGGGAGTTAAAACTGTACCTGAAGGTATATTAATGGCTGTACCAGGGTAATAAGTAGATGTTGCTCAGTGCCTAAAGCACAGATGATTCAATTTCAGGCTCAAATGTTTACATGAGAAAGTAAGAGAAGAAAAGAATAGGGGAGGAAGTGTATTTTAAATGCAGGGATGGGGAGGTATTAGCTTGCATGATATGCATTAAAGGATCTTCACCACCACTGTACAAAAGGGCATGCCAGCTCAGCAAAGGAGTCCTTTCTGTTCTCCAAACCTGCAAATATTCTGTCTTTTGCCAAAGCCATCTTCATAGAGATGACTTACTTTGAGTTTGGGAGTTATTCTGCCTTCTGCTCCATTTCCTATTTGGTTGCCTGAAGAGTGTAGAGGAAAAAATATATATATATAAAAAGATGTAAGAACATAGGTGAATGTGTGAAAATTCATCAGCTAAATAGCATTAGCACAAAATTTGTCCTGCGAATGTATTTATGGTAACAGCAAGTGCATATCTCAATTTTTATTGCAGTTCATCACTTCAGCACCCCAAAAGCCTTATATGACGTTATCAGTAGAAACTGTAGTGTGAAGTAAATATTGGATGTCAGCATCCTTCCCTTCCATGATTCCAAGACATCCCATGATCAAAGGCAGAAAACTGCTAAACAAGAAAACCACACGAAGGAAATCTGTTAGATCCTGTAACATTTCTCCCTGTAAATAGACTGTACTGGTAGGAACAAGCATGGAAAACTAAGGGAGGACAAAAAAAATCTCAACATTGAGACACAGCCTAAGAATTTAATCGGGTCTTACAACTAAATACTCAATAGTGAAGTGCTTACTAGTGATCTGCTCCTGTTCCACAGACCTCCTAAGTTCTCAACCAGAATGAACGCAGTAGGAAGCAAGAGACATTAAGTTTTTCTGTTCAACTGAAATTCTAAATAGCACTCTATCTTCTTTTGAAAAGTAGAATAAAACTTTCTGAAATATAGAACTGTACATTTGAAACCCACAGAGATGCAGAATGTTAGAAAAGGCAAATTTCTAGAGAGACACGTGGATGGGAATGAGATTCAGGAATACCAGAGGGATTCTAGATGCATCTCATCTGATCGTGTATGAAGGGGACTAATTACAGCTAGTGACCAGCCCCAAGAATTAGAGGGAGATAATCTCAAACATGATAACTTGCTGATGTTAAACAGGAAAACACCTGAATTTTGTGTTACTATACAACACATTGCTCATCCTGACAGACTTGTCCTCAGTCTTTGTACAAACCTGGGATGAGGACCACATATGCCTAAAAAGCATGAGAACCAAATTCCAGTAAGTAAAACCTCTGGAACTGTACACCATACAAAACTTCACTGTCTTCACTGCATCTCTTCTTGGTGATAGGTACTGAGGATTTTCAAAGGGATACAGTCAGTAACTTCGATGGCAATTTTTTTTTTTTTTTGTGCAACCTTGAATCAGTCCCTGTTTTGTGTACAACACTGACTGATTTAATTGTGATGGACAAGTAAGACTTTAGGTTTCCTTCCAGCACAGCTGCGGGGCTCCACATCAGGCCATCTACATTCAAAACTTTAGAATCTTTATTGAAGAGAAGCAACAATATGCTAAAGAGCAATCTGCCACATACAAGAAAAAAGCCTCACAGAAATGCTAATCTTTTTCTCAGCAAAGGTCTAAGTAGGATCCTATATGTGGCAAGATGACCAAGTCAAAAGGCTTCATCTGTATGCAAACCCTGCTCCATCTATAAAGAAGTTGGAGACCCAGGGGTACTCATTGTGGCTAAGCACTCCAGTCTCACCTATTTCACCTTGGATGCGCTGCTGTCTTTCAAGTTGGATCTGTTCTCGAATGAGTCTCTGCTGCTCTTCAAGCTGACGAGAGCCTTCTTCACGCAACCGTATTATCTAGAGCAAAGGTAAGACAGCATGGGAACAGTTCCATGCTTGACTCATGCCAGCTGAAGACTGCCAAAGACAGTTTTTAACTTAGCCCCATCTTCCAATGTAAACCTTCCATTAGCCCCACTGTGGCAGCTCCAGTGCTTATTTAATACTTAGACTCCTCCTGTTCCTAATGACATAGTCCCTGTCAGCCAGCATATATCCAATTAGTTATTTTCTGCTACGTCAAAAAGCAGGACTGACATTTGCCAGACTGTCATGCATGCCTCTCTTTCACAGAGCCCATTAATCCAAAAGGCTGGGGGACTGCTACACGGAGTTGCCACAACTCACGTGGTTTGCATTATGAATGTAGACTTTAAGCAGTTATTGTCAAAAGCAGCATACAAATCTAAGAATGGATCGTTACTTCTTGTTCTAAGGTCCTTGTTATCCGGATCTCCTCCTCTTCATTGTCACAGATCTGGGCTTCCCGTTCCCTGGCTTCAAGATCTGCAGAGAAAAAAACAAAATTAAAACGAACCAAAAAGAGTTTTCACTGCTGTTCAGAGGTGGGTGTAATGATCCAAAACTTGGCTACATCTATAACAAACTCAAAGTAGAGACATGATAGCTCTTCTGTGCAAGCACAGCAATATATTAGCAGTCCTAATGGGCATCAAAAGCCCCAATTCCTTGCCAGAGCAGAATCATCGCTAGCTGTGACAACTGGAGATTTCACATGGCTTCTGCATTGTACTGGATGGGCAATCAAATAAAAAAAAAAAAAAAAAAAAAAAAAAAAGAAAAAGCCATAGCAGATGAACAGCAACAAAACAATTCATGGTGACTTCCAGCATCAAAGAAACACAAGCATCCAGCTAATGAAGACTCCAAGCCCAAAGAAAATGAAGTTTTGATTTCATTACCAAGCTTTACTTTCTTTCGCTTCTCATCAAGCTTTTGTGTCCTTTCTGCTGCTTGCTTTTTGGCTTTTCTCACTTTGTCATATGCCACCTGTCAAAAAAACCCAACAGAACAGTGTAACTAGGTAAAGCAAAAGGGATAAAATGTGAAGCTGTGAGTAGAAGGGAGGTCAGCTACTGAAACACTGTAAGAAGAGGTGAAACATTTCCTGCTTCTTGCTAGCACTCTTAAAATGTTGGAGTTAACACAAATACTCTGAAAACATGAGAAGGACCTCCAGACTGAGCCTGAAAGAGTGAAGAAATCTAGGAGTAACTGTGAAGTTCACTGTAGAAAAAAATCTCACCCACCTATAGAGGTGAAAAAAATATTCTGTTTTTTTTTCCCTGAACAGGTCAAAAGTAAATTTAGAGGCACCAAAAACAAATCGAGTTTGATTTAGAACAAACTTCTATGATGAAAAAGGTACATTTTATATAAAAGATCTACTGATAAGACAGATGGTTGACTCACATAAATGTATCAGAGCAAAGACGACCAGAATTCCTCAGCTGCGACAGCACATCAACACTCAATTAGTGACTTAAGAACTGGGGTAAACTAGCAACTTTACTGACATCTGTTCAAACCATTACCGTAATCCCTCATATCATTATCCTTTATAATGTCTGCCAAAATTTGCTTTTAAATTATCTGAAATTTTAATATGCCTTCTCTCCTGAGTTTATCTGGATGGTATTACTTGCTCATGCTGACTCGCTTTCATGCTGTTTTTATTCCTGCTTTTCACATGTAATACTTTCAGGACTTGCAGAAGGCACTCAACCACTTCCTTACAGGAAGCCCGAGCTACATCTGGCAGCCTGCAAAGTTTGTGCAGCAAAAGGACAGAGATCACGACTATGACTCAGCTTTTCTGTTCAAAAGCCTCGTGCCCCACTGAGAGAAGGGCTCTGAGCCTTAGTGATCCCATGTCTAGATACTATTTACTTGTCACATCTTGATATCAAGGGAACCACAAATGCACCACTGCCACAGAAACTGAACCAATCACTGGTGGTTATTGAATTCTTTAAACGAGATAGGTCCCAACTGAGCATGTTATTAAAGACAGTATCCCACACTCAGTGCAAACAGAGCTACTCCCAGCACATCAGAACAGAAAAAACATTTATCAAAGCTCTTATCTGGCACCTGCTATTTCATCTCATGGAAGACTACAGGTAATAACAGACAAGACTTGCATTCACAGAGGCTCTACTGGAGAAGAGATCAGGCCAGACAGGATGAGAGTTTCTACTACTTCTCCAGCATGCAGAGTAACACCATACAGTTCCAATATAACTGAGGAATAGGCATCCTTACCCTTGCTGCTGCATCTGTCAGAACAGCTAAGGCCTGAGACAGCTGGTGGAAGACTTCCGCTGGGAATTAGAAGAAAAAAGGGTAAGATACAGAAAACCACGCTAGTGGCCTAGAGATCAATCAGAAAAAAAAATAATCCCTTCTGAAAGAGACCTGCAGAACATCAGAAAGAAGAATAATCCTTCCAAAGCATTTTGCAAGCCAACTTACAAACAAAATCTGCACAGTTGAAAGAACATTTGTTACATAGACTTCAGTGTAGATCACAAAACAAAAATAGCAGAAATTTTACTATTAAGAGAAACCTTGCAAACATGATCTCAATATAACCATCTCATTAACAGCTTTTTGGCCTGAGCTACAAAACTCCCCTTTTACATCAGTTTTGCTGAACCACTTGCTTGAGGGATACACATATGAGCTGAAGGCCTCTTCATACACTTCAGACCACCTCCCAGCCTTCTGCATACATCAAAACCTCCAGCTCTATTCCTATTTCTGCTAAAGATCTTTTTTATTCATAGTGACAATTCCCATACCACAGCTACAAAACTTCAATCTTTAAGAGCACAGCCTATCAATCTGGAACATGAAAGACACAGAATAATATTTTGAGAAGTCATTGAGGAACAACGTTCTTCCAGTTACCACCACTGTTCTTTGCATATGTGTACGTCACATGACACAAATCTAGGCATTCTCTTAATTGCATAAAGACAGACCTGAAATTAAACAGAGACACTTCCAGGAGTTTGTTTTCACACATACAGACAAGAGAAGCTTGCAGCCATACAGTTCTATCTCACCTGCTCGGGGATTATCTGGGTTCTTATCTGGGTGACAAGTCAAGGCCTTCTGGCGGTACGCTTTCTTAATCTACAAGAGCCAGAGATCTGTCAGTTGTTGCTTTCATTTAGTCCATGCTGACAAACGCAACTTGGTAAAAAAAAAAAAAAAAAAAAAAAAAAAAAAAAAAAAATTAAAAAAAAAAAAGTAACACTATAGGAACAAGAAAGTTACAACTCAGTCGTGGATGTTTGTTTTTGTCGTCCTTTGTTTTGTTTAGTTTAAACCACATCTCTCACAAGCAGAAGGCTTGATTGAACCAACATTCACTTATGTTACTGCATACTCCCCATGCCTGATAGAAAAGTCCACTTCTAGAGTGCTGACAGCACTATTAGTACACCATGTTAGAATATCTTCCACTAGTCTACTCAGTGAAGCAACCTGCCCTTTTTAATCACACTGTTCTATAAGGATAAGCATCTGAGCCTAGGACACACAGTAGGCAGGCAGCCACATTTTAAATGAGCTTTCAGCTTTTTGAAGCTTGAAGTTTTACTTCAAGGTACACTGTATTATAGTGATGTAATATATGATCAAAGTCGAGTCCGGTTCAGAAACTTTGGCAATTTCCTAGCCAAAGAGATGCTCTACTCTTTACAGTTATTTGAGAAAGAGGTAATATAGTCCACTGTGCAACAACTGAACTTGGCAAGGTGAAGTTTTTTGACCAAAGACTGTTTAATCACTTCTACACTTCAGAGAAAAAGATTACAACTTTATGGACTAAGTCACTAGTAAAGTTTTTATAATGTGAGTTTCCCTCCTCAGCGGAACATCTACATGCAAGAAAATGCATGCCAAACAATTTTCAGATGGGATGGAATAAGTGGTGGCTGAGCACAACCTGGTGGATAAAACAGATGAAAGGAAAATGCAGCTGAAGCCTAGCAGACATCATCCCATCCCTTCCATAAGCAAGACCCCAGTAAAGAAGAGTTACATCTCTTCAACATGCCATATAAACAGTTACTGGAGTAACCCTTGCTTCCCTTTCTTTGTCTCTTCTGGCAAAGTACCTCTGAATACCAGTGGGCTTTGCATTGCTTCAAGTATTTTACATCAAGGACTGCACTCTACACAACACTTGTCAATTTAAGTCACTCTGTAACACCCACTTCACCACTTCCTCATCCTTTTTCCCATCCCAGGAATCAACAGCAAAGTCCTTCACCTCACTGAGCCCTGTGAACTGTATCTGACGTGCAAGGCAACATATCAAGGCAACATATTTGCTGTTACACACTGTCTCTGGCTTCCACGATTTACCTGCTGCACTTGAAAGAACAAAGAAAAAGCTGAAGTGGGGGAAAGAAAATCGTTATTTTAACCACGTTCAGGTGCTAGAGCCTTCTTCCCCTCCACCGGACCACTTTCCCAGTTCAGTCCTGTCAGTCATTGGGGCAATTACCATCGACCTAACTATTAAGTTAAAGAGAAAATATAAAGACACCATAGCAAATCCACAAAACTAACGCGATGACTTATGATGCTAGGTACCTAAATCGCTCTCTAGTCATTGGATTTCTGCTAAACACTGCGGAGCTCCGAGGGCTAATGAAGGAATGGCTGAGAACACTTTCGCAGGTCAGTTCAACTGATGTCACCCTTCCCAAGCCAAGATCCATCCCCACAGGTTTGCGGTGAGAAAAGGGAAGGGTAAAGTGAGGCAATACAGCTCTGACCTCCTTCTCCGACACCTTCTCGCCGACCCCCAGCAGGCCGTACAGATCCAACTCCAGCAGGTCCTTATCGACCGCCATTTCGTCGTCGAGCGGCTTCTGCCCGTGCCCCCTGCTGGGCTCGCGTTGCCTGCCGGGAAACGGAGTCCTTCCTCACCGGCTCGCGCTGCTCAAGGCCAGTAGGAGTCGGGGACATTGACTACACGTACCAGTATGCTCCGCGGCAATAGGTCAGGGCGTCCGCTCCCAGTGGGCACAGCGGGGCGCAAGGCATACTGGGGGGTGTAGTTTCACGCTGGCTGCTGCCGGGGGAGCGGGGCGGCGGGGAGCTTCAGCTCCCGTCGGAGCGGCGCTGAGAGGCTGCCCACCTTGGAGGGGATGAGGGGGGCGGCTGGTTCTGTTCTATGACGTCCTAGCAGCTTACTGTACAGATTTGTGGGGTGGGAAATGGGAAATATGGGAAAAAAAAAACAGAAACAAAAACAAAAAAAACAACAACAACAAAAAAAAAAAAACCCACAAAAAACATAAGAAAGCACCAGCGTTGAGAAACAGGCGAGTGTCCCCTCGGGTGGGAGCTCACAATGTACGAGACCCGACAGTGCTTGTTCTCAAACTGTGACCGGTGTTCCAGGGACTGAGCTGGAAATCAGCAGAAACATTTGAAATAAATGTTTTATGTGCACATTTGTTCCAACTGAGTGTTCTCTCTGGCCAGCATGCCTCATTGCACTGGAATTCCTATAGTTTGCTAATAACATTGGCAGATAACATTGGCTGGATTCTCACATGAAGGTAGAACACTTCAGTGCATGGATGAGACCTCCGTCAACACAATGCACTTTCAGCTATTCCTATGAAAACCATGAAGCTTTCCACAAAAAGTACAAATGTACACAGCCAACTTTTTAATAGCAATTATTTTACAACAAGGGGTTTGTGACCTTTTTAATACATTCATTTCAATTCACAGTATGAATGATAACACAGTACAAAACCACAGCTTTAGTTGAATAGCACTGGCATACCACAAAAGAAAAGTATACATGATAATATTATGCATACCATTTACATGTTCCTATTCAATTCTGAGATTTAGAACCACGGTCCTTTCTCTCAGCTTTGTCTTTGCATTTTGCAAGGTGCTGGCAGCGAGTAGTGGAAAAGCTCTCTTACCTTAGATGTCCCTCTGAAGCTGCTCCTCACCTCCTTGTTTCTCAGGCTATCAATCAAGGGGTTCAGCATGAGGACCAGGAGCATGCAGAAGACTGCTGGTGCTTTCTTCTGCTCTATTAAGTACCTGGAGCTGGAATGGATGTAGCTAAAAGTAAGGGATCCAAAGAAAATGGTGATGGATGTCAGGTGAGAGGCACAGGTGTAGAAGGTTTTCTTCCTGCCATCATACAGGGGAGGGGCCGTGGGTGCCATTACTGAACCAGCGGTGGGCATAGGCACTGTTCCAGGAACTTATGAGAACACAGGTGTGGCCCCAGTAGCCCTCCAATTAGACGCTGCAGGAAGCCACAGAGGTGCCGCCCAAGGCACATCATTCTCTGCTCCCGACAAGACACCCCTGGCCCCGCCACTCCTTCTAGATGAATCCATTCCCAACTCCTCCTCCTGTTGCTCAGCCTCTGACTCTGGCTTGCTGCTCTGTTGAACTTCTGTAGCATCCTTCTGACCCCCCTTCGCAGGCTCCACACCCCCCTTTGTAGGCTTCTTCTCTGTTTCTTTGCCTTCCTTCTCAAGCTGACCTGACACTAATTCCCAAGTCATCCTCCAACACCGCTCCTCTGTTTCCACTGCTTTCAGAGCTCTTTCTAAGCTTCCCAAGGTAGCTCCCTTCAGTCCCAACTTAACCTACTCCCACAACTCCTCTGCCACCTTATCTAAATTCCTATGGGATAAGCCCTCTGTAGGAGTACTCCCGTAACCACAGCACTGAACCCAATTAATCAACGCCATTTGGGCTTTTGACAACAGCGAAACCCCTGCTTGCTTTCCCAGCAGCTTCAGCATACTCACTACTTGCTGCACAGAAGCCATAACATGAGCTGCTATCCCCTCATCCATGTGTGCACACCTCATCATGTCGGGTATAGGGACATAATCCCCCCCCCCGGCTTGAGCCGACCAGCATCTTCAGATGATCCCACTAGCTGATGGGAAGCCGAAACAGCTATCAACCGTTCTAATTTATTCTTCTTATCACCAAACGTGCGCCACTCTTCATCCTCAAAGAATGTCCCTGAATGTACAAACAAACCCTCTGCCTTACCAAAGGCTAGTAATCCCGGCACTTGCTTAACAGTACCCGTATCCACCCCTTGCTTCTCTAAGAACTGTAATAAATTTAGGGCTACCTCTCTTTCCAGAGTGCACTGCAACCCGCATCCCACCGCTCTCACAGCACCCACTTGAGACTATTGGAGTGCCACTCTTTGCCCTCTGGATCCGCGCAGACCCCTCTCGGTCGATCTAGGCAGCTATGCCCCCCAGCTCGCTGCTGCGACACTGGTGCTTCTGTCTGCACGCTTGGTGCTGAGTTGATCGCCAGTCCCTGTTCGGGCACCACTTGCTGCGGAGCTAAAACAGTAATGTGATCACTACCCGAGCAGGAAGCACGACAGGACTCAATACGAGTGATCCAGCTTCAGTTTATTAACGGTTACACAGAGCTTTAATAGCTAGCTTTAGCTATCATGTTGCCTTGCTATTGGTGGACAACAGTCGTTTCTAGGCAGAGAAGAATCTAACTACATGCTATCTGTTTTTGTCAACTCCCTTAAACCAAGTTCCTTTTTGGGGCTACTCCCTCCTGCTCACAGAAACATTGTGACCTGTTAGTCTCTAATTTTTCCATGGGTATACAATCTGTACTGCTATACAGGCTGTGCTCATACAACTCCTCATGGCCTCCTTGTTCCCAGAGCCATTTCCCAACAGGGAAGGATGACTTAGGAATATGTATGTTTGTAGGACACTGGAAAATCAGTGGAACACACAGGAACACAGACATTTAGGTCTATTAACCTGGTACTGGTCAATTCTCAGTCAGTCTGCACTCTCATCCCCTCACTTGTGCAGCTGCATATCTTGTAGAGCATGATCATTGAGAGTGCTGTTCTTTCTGGTTGATATGTCCTTTGGGTGGACTCAGTGTTCAACCTATACAAGAACTCATGCTGGATGCCCTGTAATGCGAGGGCTCATTGCTCTGGTTACTTATTTTTCATACAGATGTTGTGTTGTGTTTGGATGACTGAAAGAGAATGCATGACCTTGTAATAATACCTGGTCATGCAACTTGACCCATCCTAAATTAAGACTAAATTCACAAATTTATTTGGTCACACTCAATGAGCTGCTGGTTGTAGTTCAATGAGCTTCTGTCTCCTGGTGTCAGAGCAAAGCTAAGAACTGAAGGGAAAGAAGTGTGAAAGTAGAGAGAGCTGTGCACAATATAGCAACCTGGATCTTCTTAGAAGCATGCTGAGAATTGGCAGCCAACACACCTAGCATCATGCATTTCTAATGAGCATCTACACTGCAGTTTCTTACCTTAGACTGACTTCTCTAGAGCCCAGATTCAGACTGATGGAATTAGGTAACTATGGACCTGAAGTATATCTCTTTCAACCTCAAACAATTTTTAATTTTTGCTTGTTGTCTTGAATGCTTATCTTCCCACTTATCTTCTGAATGCCAGGCTGGAGTGATCTGATGCAACTTTCCAGGCTTATTACACTAAGAAATAATTTCGTAGGTAATTGGTCACCGAACTCTGTCAGTTCTTGCAGTTCAAAAATCTACCTGTCTTGATTCTCCATTGTTTCACTCAGCCTTAAGCCCTCTTCAGATCTCGAGTTTCTTGCATTGATTTTAGGAATGAGTTAAAGTCAGTGTGCAAAGAAAATTTTTATTTTAATGGAGAGATCCGCAGTGTGTTTCTGGGAGCTGAAGCTTGTGCCCTCTGTAATTCAGTGTTCCAAGGGCCTGATCATTTCCCTTGATGCTGTTCTGTAGGTGTTTATGGATTGCTTTCCTCACCCTAATGGCCTGAACCTGAGCAGCAGGAAATGCAAAGAGTCAGCTTTCATATCACTGGTTCTCTTTGAACCTGGTCAATAAATACAGCTTGATGTAATCAGCAATTTTAAGTTTTTCAGATAAACTGTGTAGAGACAGAGGTTAGAGGTTAGAGTTTAGACTTCATCTGCTTTGAAAGAGAAAATTCCTTGCCTTTTGGATGGGTTAGAAGGGACCTTACAAATCCTCCAGCTGAAATCCACACTGTAGGCTCATTGACTTCCACATCTTTTACCTCCTTGTTTCTCCAGCTGTAGATGAGGGGGTTCAGCAGTTCAGCATAGGGATCACCCCAGTGATTTTGTCTGTGTCCTGAGAGAAGCTCTTGACAGCTCACAAGTACATGAAGATAAAGGTTCCATGCAACAAAGAGACCACCATCAGGTGAGAGGTGAATGTGGAAAAGGCCTTGTGTTTGCTCTCCTTGGAGTGGATCCACAGCACAGTCAGAACAATGAAAATATATGAGATGAGGTGCAAATGATGCTGTTCATTACAAACAAACTGCCGGAAATGAAAACCAGCAACTCATCGAGAGCAGTACTGGAAGAAGAAATCTGAAAGAGTCACAGAATCATAGAATCCCAGACTCTCAGAATGGCTTGGGTTGGAAGGACCCCAGGGATCACCAAGTCCCATCATCCCTGCCACAGGCAAGGCCACCCACCTTCAGATCTGGTAGTAGATCAGGCTGCCACGGGCCCCATCCAACCTGGACTTGAACACCTCCAGGGACAGAGTATCCACAACCTCTCTGGGCAGGCTGTTCCAGCAACTCACCACTCTCTCTGTAAAGAGATTCCCCTGACATCCAATTGAAATCTTCCCTCCTGGAGGGAAGAGAGGGCTGTTATCACAAAAGATATGCTTCACCACATTTCAAGAGAAAAAATGATAGTTTTAGGAAGACACTGGTGTGTACCAAAGAGTTCAGACCCAGAAGTACGAACATTTCACCAAAGTTCAGCAGAGCATCTCAAACATGATCTCAATCGTGATGGCAGTATAAAGCAGAGGCTTATAGATGGCCACATACCAGTC